TCACACAGCCATCCTATGGGACATCCAGCAGAGTCTGGCCATGCTGGCCGGACACGTTCAGGTTCCACAGTCGTTCGCTGGATTAGGTGCCTGGCCAGTGGTGCAGCCCTCGCCTTCAATCCCACTGGTGACCGGGGTAGTCGCATCTACACTTCCGCCGGTCCCAAGTGTCTCGCATCTTGGCATGCCGCCAGTTGGAGGGCTCCATGCAGGGCTGAGTGTACAGGTTCCAGTCCAGTCAGTGGTCTCCCAACCTTTGTCCCAGGTTGCAGTGCAACCTGACGTCTCACAGCTGGTACAGCGACCGGGCCAGCAGGTCCAGCAGCAGCATGTACAGCAGCCTGCAACCCAGGGTCCACAACCTGGTGTAGTGCCAGCTCAGGGACAGACAACGTGGGTCCTAAAGACCGCAATTGCTGCACCAAAGCCCTTCTCAGGTGATAAGAAGGGTGAGGATCTCAACACATGGTTGAGGACGGTGTCGGTCTATGCAAAGTGCAAGTTGACAGCGCCTCACGATGAAGTGCTTGTGGCTGCCTCCTATCTTGAGGGTAGTGCAACAAGGTGGTTGCGTGGTTTAGTGCAGTTAGCCGGATATGGACACGACTTCCGCTCCTGGGCAGCTACCCAACAACTGGGTGACTTCCTCAGACTAGTGGAAGAAAGATGACATGACCCTCAGGAGGCCCAAAAGCGTTACTGAACCTGGGCTCCAAAAAGTTTAGGTCAGTGAGAGATGCCACAAACGTTGTTGAGCGTCTGATCTGTATTCTTAGCGTGCGTTATGACCCTCAGGTCTTGCTCACCACTTTCCTGAGATGTCTCCCTATGGAAATTAGGAATCAGACGGCGAGCGAGGCACTGATCACAGTACACAACTTTCCCTCGTTCAGTAAGAAGGCCCTCGATCTCGAGGCAAAGATCGGGCATGGTCAGCAGCACCCCACGGACGGTAGGAAGAAATCACTGCCTCCTAATTGGAAGGCCAAGGGGCGTCTAATGTACGTCGACGACGATGGTAACTCCATCGAAATCGATGACGCAGCCAGTTTGGAGTGGATGCAGAGTCAAGTAGCGCAGAGGCTTCAGGGGGTGGAGTAGTTGCTACCAATGTACAAAAAGGTAAGGCGACCGGTAAACGTCGTGGTGGCGCCCGGTCAAAGAGTCAGGCAAACCCCAATGCCACTCCTTGGGAGAAGGCAGCGCTCGCTGAAGACGTATGGAGGGACCGGTATATCCGGGCAGCTTGCATACGTTGTGGTTAGTACGACCATACGCAGTTCAAGTGCCGAAACAGGAAAGTCATCAAGAAGGTACCGCCGACGACGGGACCGGCGCAAACTCCCTCCTCTTCCACGAACTGCAATGTAGCCAATACGTTTGGCACTAGTTTGGGAAACAGATCAGGCCAGTAGGAAGTGTAGCTATTCCTACTAGGGTCGAGATGGTGGAGTCACCCTCGCCATCTCGAGAGATGGCCCAAGCTACTGACTCTTGTGTCGTCCCGCGAGCACATTTTGACCAATCGATTCTCTGCTTGAAGGATGTGTTCGACTCCTTAGAGGAACTAGAGGAGGAGTGGTCGAGGACAGACCCACGAGTTTCTTGGACGACAATGGTTAAAGCCCCTAAGGGAGAGATGTTCCTGGGGAGGTGTTGATAGGCAACCGTAAGGTTGGGGCCTTCTATGATACCTGTTCCACAAGGAACTTCATCAGTCGCGCTTGCGTTGAGAGATTGCACTTAGAGGGGCGAGTGCAGCGCCTTAGCCGACCGGTAGAGTCGACTTGCG